GCGCACCCGGGCGGGTCCCCGCTGCCCTCCGCGCCCGCCCTGAGGGGTTGTTTCCGGGCGCTGCTGTATCATCCTGCCCTCTGGTCGGTCGCCTTCTAATCCCATCGGCCTCGCCTGGAGAGAAAGCAGCTCCGTGCCCAGCGCTGCCGCGCGCCTGCTCTTCGGTTCATTGTTGTAACCCCCTGGGCCCCGCCAGCCCGGGTGCCACCCCGCAGGTGATCGCTCGGCGTTTATTGCCGCGGAGAAACAAGCCCTTTATTTGTAGTGGTAAATTCAGCCTCCGCTAAAACACGGCCTCTGAAATCGCTGCAGAGTTGCTATTTAAGCAGATTCAGGCTTTTATGGAAACACCTGTTTTCTGGGAAAAGATTGAGCAGCTGTCAAAAGATGATAGGCGTCTCTCACTGGCAATCCGTACAAGTGTGCCAGTGTGCCCCACTCACTTCGACGTGCTCCGTCAGGTAATTATCCTGCAGAAATTTTCCCAGTTGACGGCCACCATTTGGCACAGGATCGTACTTCACTGTAGGCGAGTCATTGCTCTGTGTGAGAACAGGCCATACCTGACAACTTCGGGGTAGTTGTGGCCCGTGTTAAGTTCTTCTAACAGTTTGTATCATTCAGTAGGTATTACAATTTTAATATAGAAACATGAGATTTGGCTTGTTACCTCCTTTGGCAGGTGTCTCAGGGGGATTTCAGTGTGCGAGTGGTGTTTTGTTCGCCATGCAGGGACATGCATAAGCCGTTCAGAAGCCTTTTCCACATCACTGCTTTATAAGCTAGTCTCTGTGAATTTGGGAACATAGGAGAAGAATCTGGAAATGCTGGCAAATGATTTTTAATTTTTTTTTGTTTTATATATAAGGATTCAATGTACTCTGTTTTTATTTGAGGACAAACTGAAATTGATGCTTTTTGCTTGGAAGGTACATTGATTTGCTAATTGTTCTGCTTTCTCCTGCGTGTGTTTTGTCACTCCTCTCTTCAGGCATCACGTACGCCTTTTTATAAGTCTCTCCTTATTTTCCTTTTGTCCATTCTTTTTCCTAGCATCCGTTGTCAATTCTTCACTTGAGCAAAACATTCCAGGTTTTTCTATAGCAGTTGCTCTTGCCACTTGCACCCCAAGTTTGTGACCACTGCAGTGGAAAGTCCAGGCAATGAAATCAGCAATAGCTGACAGCTAACCGGTAACAGTTAACGACTCAGCACGTGGTGATTATTGAGTTAGTAGTGAGCCTTCCTTTAAAATTAAATATGTTATCTAGTGACTGGAGAAATAATACAGGGTGATGTGTGTATCTCTAAAATACTGCTCTGTGCCTAGATTAATTTCTTACTAACAGTTGAGTCCCTGTTCATTTAGAAACTTGCCTGTTGTGGGCAACACTGTCTTGACTCAGGGAGTTTAATTTATTGCCAGTTTATGTAGAATTTTAATTACTGATTTGGCTTATGAGATACAAAGAAGACAACCAGTTAAACAAATAGGTGGGGAAAACTGTTCATCCTCCTCTTCACTCCAGACAGTCGCCTCTCTTGCTTTCCTTGTCTCCCCTCCCCACAGGTTACACTACGTCCCTTGGAGAAGGCAGTGGTGAGGCAGGAGCTTGGGCTTGGTGCATGGAGGTTTCTTCCTGCTGCTCCTTCTTTCTCATTTCTTCTGCTTTCATGTGGGTGTCTCCTCAGGGTTGTCCTTGCCCCGGCAGCGTGGGCAGCTCCAGAGGCAGCAGTCCTCTCAGGGATGTCCCTGCTCTGGTGTGGAGATCCTCCTTCAAGAGTGATTTCCAGCCCATCCCACAATGTCTGCTTCTCCGTGCCTCCCCCCGTCTTTTTTCGCAGACTGTCACATCTCCTCCGTGCTTCCCATTGCCATTCTGCCACCAGCAGCTCCTCCTTTTCTTAAATGTGCCAGAGCAGGGGCACTGCGTGCTCATCTCGTGAGTTGGAGTTTTGGCAGGCAGTGGGTTTGGTCCGTTATGGAGCCAGCAGGGCCTAGCCGTGACCAGCACAGGGCAAGTGATGGTCTCCTCCCATGCAGCCCTTTGCTACCAAAGCCTACGGATTATCCCCAACACACTGGTGTGCCGGTTGGGTGATACTAGGAGAAAAGTCCTGTCCTTGCCTAAGTATTGGAACTCTGGTCTGCTTTCATAAACATCTGATGTAGCTTGTTAAGTGCCAATATTGTTTTATGCCTAGTGGTAACACAATTGGATTTGGTATTAACTTGTCTGTCTTGAGTATTGTCTGCTCCTGTGTAACTACTGGTACCTGGCTTCATAGGTGGCCGGTTTCTGTAACGGTCACATTCATACGTGTTTTCACAGCTGTTGTTTTTTTTTTTTCCCCCAAAACTTTCTCAAAGAGTTAGTTTTTCTCTCTCTTTTTTTTTTTTTCCAGACCTGAAGGTTCTGCTGACGCAAAGGTAGCAGCTCAGCTTGCTAGGGAAGTGTCAGAGCTCTGCTCCAGCAGCGTGAGTAGTCATGTTCTTCTCAGATAATTTTGCTTCCATGTTGTTTTGTTTGTCCTTCTGACTCCACGATCCTGTTATCTCTTCCCTCTTCTCTTTTGGTCTGTATTGCTGCCACCTTGACTTCTGTGTGGGATTGTGTGTGTTAGAAGAGATGAGATTTCAGGTTTGGGGGAATTTGAGCCATCCTATTTCAATCCTTGCAAGATGGAATTTTGGTAGAACAAGGAGTAATCAAGAGTAGTCATGTTTAACAGAAGATTTGGGAACAAAAAGTTTCCTAGGTACTAAATTGCTGTCGACAGCAGAGCCTGTGTGCACAGGGCTGGGTGCAGCTGTGGTAAGAGTGGCGATAGTGGTAAATGGTCGGTGTGGTGTTGAATCCTGCTGTTTTGTACCCTAACATGCATGCTGCCTTGGGTGGGTATTAAGTCCCCTTGACATCTCCCTTCTGTCTTCCCAAGTACATATTGTTTCTAGCTATACAAAATCTTTACTTGATGTTAAATGCAGAAAGTTATGTGGTTTTCTTGAACTGTTGCAGGGCAGAGAGTCCTTGGAGTGAAGAGACTATGTATTGATACTGCTCTTAAACGGACAGGAAATAAGCCATTCTTCTTGCTCCTCAGGGCTTTCTGTCCTACACTGTGCCTTAAACATGGAAGCTGTAGAAATGAATAGTGTATCTTTGAAACGTCCTCGCTCTGAGGATGATGTGGCTAATACAGATGAAATTAAAAGACAGAAGACCTCAGAGAAGTCTAACACAGGGAACGACTCTGGGCAGAGCGTTGAGACTGTAACTGAACAACCTGACAAATCTCTGCTTGAGGACACGAAAAATGAAGTAATCCCTAATGAGGAAGGTGAGGAGCAGGAAGATGAGGAGCTAGAGGACAGTGATGAAGATGGAGACCCAGAGAGCTTTGCAGACATGATGAAGCATGGACTGACAGAAAGTGATGTTGGCATAACTAAATTTGTTAGCTCTCATAAAGGGTTTTCTGGAATCTTAAAAGAGAGGTAACTCCTTGTCTTGTTATGTACGTTAACTCCTTGTGTTAAGCAGCTGTTGTTCTCCAGGTTCCTTTTCTGACTCACAGGATGCAACTGGATTATGTGCAGCCATTTGAGAGGTTCATCACTTTGTTTTCCTACTTCTGAGACTGAAAGAAAGGTTTAATTTGAGACTTTTCCAGATTCTTTTTCTCTTTTTTTTTTCCCTGTCTTTCCTGACAAATGGAGCTCTGAGGAAAGAAACTGTGTATGTGTATGATTACACCGGCCTTTGCTGTTTGTCTTGCTCTCTGGCAGCAGCATACAGCATAAAACCTTAGGCAGTACACCCACCTTTTGTTCCACTCTTCAGTGCTGATACAAGATGCACTGGAGAACGGTATTAAATCCATCCCTCTGGTGGTTCTTTGATTTTCCCTGACTTTCTTGTGCTAATGTCTTTAAACATGTGTATTGTCAGATGGTCCATTAGGCTTGAAATTATAGTCTGATCAGTTGTAACATAATTTACAAAACATAAAAGGGACTTCTATAACTTAGGGTGTAAAATTTTTCATTATATACCTAGTAGATGGCAGGGCTTTAGTAGCTTCTTTTTAATGAAACTTCTAGGTTTTTTCAATTAAATAACATCTTTGAATACAAAAGAATGCAAATACAAAAACTCACTGAAGTGAGATTATTGTTGCCCTGACTTAGCAAAGCAGTTAAGAATCCTTTGTTTACACATCAGGAAGTCCCTGTTTTTAAATATTGGCTTCATATATAGGTTATTTTCCATAATAAAGCGATATGTGCATATTTTGTATGAATTTAATCTTTCTATGCAGTACTAAGCAGCCAGTATAATCCTTCACTGGGGAACACTGTCTGTGCTCAACCACCTTCTGGGAAATCTGCCAATTTTCAACTGAGGTCACCAAAGGTGGTAGAAATGTTTGTGGGCACATGTTTTTTTTTCTTTGATCCTCATTTATAAAGCCTATCATTAATTTAGTCCTGGCATTTTTATGGTACCAGTCACTAGCACGTCTACACAGCTACAGATAATGAGAGAGGGCAAATAACACTCCTCAGGAAGGATTTCTGCTGATATGATGTATGGCTGCACGGAGCTATGGCAAACAGGGCCTTGGGGGAGATAGAGTATAAACATTCCCATGGTGAAGTTTTTATTCATCTTTCAGCATTCACAGACTAAGAAATTTTTAATTATCTTTCCACCCACCCCACCCCACCCCCCCTTTACAAGCAGATGCTACTTAAAAGTCATTTAGCAATTGCAACATAGACTGTCTGTGCTCTGTTAAAGTCTTTGTTACTGGACATAGTGAGGGGATTGAAAATGTCACAGGCAAATTATTCGTTGCTATCCTGGAGTATGCAGGGTAACTGTTTATTTGAAAGACGTTCTCTATAATTGAATACACGTGTCACAGAGCTGAATTTCTCCTGCTTGCCTTAACGAGCAGCTCACATGCACTTTATTCAGCAGGTTATTTGAAGTGACAGAGTTAATGCATTTGTGTTCACGTTGTAGGAATGCAGTGGAGTTAATTGGTAGTAATGACTGGGGTTGAGGGTGTGCATTACTGATCTCTGCAAGGTGGTAAGAAAATGACTCAGAATAAACGACTCGGAATAACTGTAGCAGGTGTTCAGTTATCTGCAAAGAAGTCTGAGTGTTTAGGTATGCCAGACTGACTTCTGTCTTCTGGTGGTATCCTTCTGATGGATGAGAATAGGTACAGCTTTCTCATGGTTGAAGTTTCTTTTACATGAATTGCATTACATGAATTCAGAATTCTTGAATTAATTCTGTTAACACATGGCTTCTTGGGAAAGGACTTTGTGATGTGAGAGGGTTTTTTTTAATTACAACTTTAATGCATGTTTCTTCCTGTCAGATACTCAGACTTCGTTGTCCATGAAATAGGCAAAGATGGACGTGTGAGCCATTTAGATGACTTTTCCGTTCCAGTGGATGATGAGGTAAATTTGGAGGTAAAGATTTGGTAATGGCTATGCTCCTTAAGCAAAAACATTAAAAGGCTGAAAGTTGTTATGTGAGGGTTGTTTGATGTTCGTTTCTCCTCCCAATATGTATTAGGACCCATCGGAAGACACATTTACAGTTCTGTCAGACGATGACAAGCAGCGTTTAGAGGAGCTCCAGCTTCTTAAGAATAAGGAAACTAGTGTTGCCATAGAGGTAAAATCAATAAATGATATGAAGTTTGGGGTGGGGGAGGAGAATGAGAGAGTGAGCGAGTGCAAGTTACCTGCTTTTAGTGCACGTAAGGTATAAGAGTAGTTTGAACATGTTGTGACAAGTAATACCAAAATTTCCCGTTGGGTGTTCAAATCTGTGAAGCCTTACAGATACACTCAAATTCATGCACCTGAGTTGTTGTTTTTATTTAAGTGGGACTGTACACATCAACTCGAATACACATCTTAATTTCTGCCGTATTAAAGTTTTCTTGCAATGTTTTGGTTCTGTCTAGTTGTATTTTATAGGATAATTATGTAAGAAGGATTAAGTAAAATGTCCATACTGATGAAGGACTGTTTTCAAGGTCAGTGAGTAGTGATTTAATAGAAAAGAAGATAAATGTGCTCTTCTGTAGCAAGAAAAATAAGAAGGTACAAAATACAGTCAAAACTTGGCATTTTTAAACATACAAATATTCTGTATACTTTTAATAATAGCTGTTAATCTAAATTAGGACACAGAAATGAATAGGATTAAGTCTGGAAATTTCCAGTAAACATTCACACATGAAATAGTCTTACCTAGCCATTTGTTTTTCTATAGTGCATGCAGAAAAACTTAATTTTGCCAGAGCTTTCATTAGAGGAAGGAATTTTATTAAGCACAGAAGAGAGGAATAAATCTTGAGAATTTTCTTTTGTGAAAGTTGAGACTGTGGTTTGTAGCAGAGCTATTTATTATTTTTCAAACTAATTTTAATAGGTAGGGCAGACTTTAGAAAGTATGCCTGTTCAGTACCTTAGCGTGATTTGGGAGGTTTTCTTTAAGCATGCAAAATTTAACTCTGAGACAATCCGTCCCCTTTTATATTACTTTATTTGGTTTCTGCATATGTGTGTGTATTAACACAGGTAGTTGAAGACACCAAAGAAAAAAGAACAGTTATCCATCAGGCTGTGAAGTCCTTGTTTCCTGGACTGGAGACTAAAACAGAAGATCGAGATGGAAAAAAATACATTATTGCTTACCATGCTGCTGGGAAAAAAGCACTGGCAAGTGAGTTTCAGCATCACAGCAATTGGGTAAAGTAAATGCTACAATTATCCTCAAAATAGAAGTCGTTAGGAAGTCCTTCAGGTTGAGCATACCTCCTAAGGTAGTCTGGCTTTGCTTTTTCCTCTTTGCAACTGATGCTGTGCATCTAAAATGACTAGGAACATAAGGAGTGTCTTAAATTTCAATTTCTACTTGTTTTTCTTTCCAAAACATTCATCAAAAGCAACCGTGTTAGAATAGAGAGGATCTTTTGCTATTTCAGTGGGAATAGGCTAAACAGGGACTTTATTTTCAGTGATTTTTGAACTTGGCTTTCATGATACCTGAACGTGTCAGTGGGCATTGTGGAAGTAAGAGGTTGTAGTTGAAATACGTACGTTACACTGTCAGTCGGTGTAATCATGACTATCTTGAAAATCCATGGCAAAATTCTCATTGACTTGATTAGAGACAAACACTTCTTTGTTTTCTCAGAGTTATAGTTTTCTGTAAACATAATACGTGTACTGTGATCTTTAAGGCTACTTCTGCTTCCAAGGCTAGTAATATTTGCAGAAAATTGTCTTCATTCATTATAAATCACAGTTACTATTTTGGCATAATTAAAGTAATGAAGCATTTTCAAAATGAAGTGTTACCCACCTTAATCTTGCCAAATACTCTTTTGGTTACTGGGGATAAATTAATGTGTTCTACATCTTTTCATGTTACTACAAATTTGTTGCTACTGTAAATTGAGAAGATTGTTTTCATGCAGAATGTTGCACATTGAACGAAAGGTTTGTTTTGAACCGATGGCATTTGTACGTCTTTCCAAGCTCCTACAAATGGCAGTACGTAAACCTAGACCTTTAATTTTGAAGATGAAGGAGAAGGGATAAGGAGATAACTTAAAAATGGGAATAACACCATCTCCACATTCAAATTAGTTGTTACTTTTTAAGACTTGTTCTAAGCAAATATGGGAATGCTCTACTTTTAGTGGTACAGTTACAGTGTGTTGATGTGTCGTCTTTAACCCTGTTTAGAACAGTTGTATGTTTGCATGCTTTATGCATGGAGTATGTATATTTACCAGCACAAAATTCTCCTCAGCCAGTTTTGTTCTCTGTTGGTTTGTAATGGTTTTACCTCCACCTTTTCCTTCTGCTGCTTCTGTTCTTTAACCATTGTTACAGTCAAGTGGTTGTTACTAAGCTGGCCTGTTTGACATAAGAGATACTGTCTGAAAGAATTTAAGTATTTGAAACACAAGGAAAATAATTTAGTGATGTGTCTCTAGGATTAAAACATTATCTGGAGCACCATCTTGTGCTGCGGAGGATCATCATCTATTTAAACTTGGATTCCTAAGCTGTGATGCTGCAAACACCTGTGCATGGTGGTGGCAATGTGTGCAGTTTCAGTGGGTGTGTGTAAGTGCTTATGAATGGAGCATTTAAGAGTGCAAGTTCTTTTTAGTCAGGATTATCTCTCTTCCGTGTTTACATAGCCACTAATACGTCTTAGTCCTGAATGGGTTGCCCAGGCAAGAAACATTTCAGAAATGTAGAATACTCTTTGAGTATTAGCTGAGATACCTGATTACTTCTGTTGATAATGCAAAAGGCTACCAAACATTCTTTCCTGAAATTTAAAATTAGCAGCTGCTTTGTGTCTATAGTAAGTTTATGCCCAAAATACTTAAAATACTGCCTTACTAAATTGTCAGCAAAATGCTGTTTCATCATTGTCCACAAATGAAGTTTGTTGCATCTCCGATTGCAGCTTTCCATATGTTCACTGTTTGCCTCTGCACGATTCCATTGCATAACTGTCTAAATTGCTGTCATCCACCACCTAACTGTTGGATGCTCTCTAAAGCATAAACAATCCCATAACCATAAACCTGCATGTTCACCTCTAAAAACCCTTCGACGGTCTAAAAATTAAATGCTGCTCTTTTGTGCTCTTTATGCTATGCATTGGGACAGAGGTCAGAACTGCAACAGGTAAGAGATGTTGACATTTCATGCTAACAAAATGAAATGCCAACCACTATGGCCTCCTGAATAATGACAAGACCAGCCAAACTACTAACAATTAAAAAACCCTACAGATAAGTAATGCTTAAAATTCCCTGAAACAGCCAGGAGTTGGGCTTGTGCTACTTTTTTTTTCTTAGAGCAGTATAGGCAGTAGTCATTCGGTGCACAGAAAGTCTGCTGGTAATAAATTTTATCAATTACCAGGTTTGATACTGTTTGATATTTATGGTAAATTTTCCATTGATTTCATTAAGCCAAGCCTTTGCCCTTCAGCCTTGTATTTCAGACACCACTGTCTGTACTTATACAGCTTTATGAGTAGATATCATACATCCCAAGAGCTTCCAGCCCTCAAGTTGCAGCAAAAGGTTTGGAAAAAGGGCTTAGAAATACAGTTATACTGCAAAACACTGGAATAAGGACTGCAAAGTGTCCCTCTGATCCATCTACCCAGTTGAATACTTGCAAGTATTGGGCGAGGAATGGTTACATAGCGGGGCTGTAGCTGCGGACTCCCAGGACTGCAAGGATAGGCACGTGGCTGTGATGCCCAAAGCATAAGGAGCCCGTTGGTACATAAAGTAGCTACAGAGTCCTTTCAGTCTAGCCCAGATGACGGCTTACTTTTTGAAGTGTGTTGAAATGACCATGTGCAAAATGGATCAGTTAAATTTAAAGAATGATTCCAGCTGGAGAAGACTTTCCTTGAGAATCATGCTCTGTCTTCCTCTCTTCGTTTTTAATTACGGAGTTCTTCCGGAGGGACCTTGCTTTTCCAGGTCAATGCAGTGTTTCATTGCCTGTCTTCAAGAGCAGCGGTGGCTCAGAAGGGAGACCAGCACGAGTGTGGGGTCTCTTTGCAGGCTTTGGACCGTACTGCTCAGTTTAGGTCCTAGGAAACTCCATAGTGGGGCTTTGCTTAGAAACTGGTGGTACAAGGCAAGCGTTGCAACAATTTTTAAGTGATTAAAAACTTTGTGTATATACTGTTAGTGTGCAAACTTTTTTTGCAGAAGTGTGTGTGTATGGATGGCAGCTTCCCAAGAAAAAAACATGGCAAGAAGAATTATCTTTTACCAGAAAATTTAATGAATTTTAACCATATTTACTGTCTGTCTGGGATATCTAGGCTTTATTAAACTAATGTGAACAAAGAGAGCAAAATTTCCCAAGAACTTCCTTCTTGCATTGGTGTTTATATATTGGAATAGGGCTGGCTTTTGCTGTTACAAAGATGCTTACACCCTTTTTGTACAAAAACAGGAA